TCATCATCTTCTTCCCCTCCTCTCCTTGTGCGAGGAGGCTTACATGTCTCAACCTCTTGGCTTCATTGATGACCAAAATTTTACTCATGTCCGTCGGCTCAGGAAAGCCATCTATGCTCTCAAATAGGCGTCACAGGTTTGGCAGATTAAATTCAAAGGATTCCTCCTCTATATTGCTTCTCAAATTCACACAATGACTCCTTCCTTTTCTTGTTCTTCACACCCTCAATTATAATTTACTTTCTCGTTCATGTTGACGATCTTCTTGTGATTGACAACAATCCCGAACCTGTTATATCAATTAAATTCACTGATTCTCCCTCCCTCCGCTTCTCAATAAAAAAAAAACATGGGCTTTCTTCACTGCTTTCATGGGATTGAGGTTATTCGTACTCGTAACTTATTTCTCAATCAGCATAAATACACTCATGATCTTCTCTCCCACATTAACATGTCTAGTGCCAAGCAGTGCTCAAATCTTATGTCTAGGACCACCTCCCTCACTCTACATGATGAATCCGAGCTTCCAGTCGAGGGACCCGATTCATCTAGCCCCCGGCTCAAAGGATAAAGCTAATCACGATGGAGTCCTAGCTGGTTGTGATTCAATTTTTGTTATCGTTTCCAAATTTGTATTTATCTTGTAACCTTAACTTCTTGTACTCGTAATACTGTTGATATAATCGTTACTAATCATTAATGGAATACAAGAAAATATTCTCTCAATTCATATTCTTATCAAAACCAACATTCGGCCTCTTCAAGAAGTAATGTATATTATTATTATATATGTAGAATTACAAAATCTTTTAATTAGCAGCGCATCACAATCTGGTAGTATAATTGCGCTATGTTGAATGAAGCTGGCTAGTGTGGCTTTTGGACACCACAGTGACTATTGACTACTTCTAGAGATCTAATTTCAATATTCCCAAATCCCAATGCTTTGTCTTTATGTGGGAATCCTTCAGCCAAAGTCATCCTCATCGGCTGAAGATGGCTGAATTCTGCTGTAATCTGGATGATGTTGTGGGGATATCCAGTTGTGTGTGGTCCAAGTTCCCTTTGGTTTCAGTTTACGGTCCAAGAAAATATTTATGCAGCGATTCAAAGTTGGTGGCCGAATACATTCAAACACACAGTATTTACTTCCAAGATTCTCTTTTATGACACATTACCTAAATCTTCAAATGAGCAATCAATATGTATAATGCTCAAACGAGTAATTATGTTTCAAGATCGGTGTTCTTAAATGAGACACCATATTGGAAGGATACATTTAAGATTAAAATCTTGCATAATTTATACAAAAATAATAGTAAACATGCAAGTGTTAAGAGTACTCCTTGTTGACCTTGCAAATGAAACTTCAAGACCCTATAGTATCTAAGATCTCCATGCTTATTTTGCTAGTCCTCCTAAGAATACTTTATCCATCATGGAAACTTGTAAAGTTTAGCGTATTCATTTAAGACGCCAAAACACTTGGAAACATTGGCATGTATAAACTTTTAGACAAGAGGCTTAAACATTCAGCAACTTTAAACAAAGTCATTGAATGGTAATTATCCTTTGAATTGTGCTAGGTGTATAAAAATTTATACCACTCTCTCACAGGTGGGGGTGGGGGCTACGATTAAAATAATCGCGGGGTCCACTCATGTGAGATAACTGTATAAATTGCTATACAGCAAGTGCTATACAAGCATCAAAACCCTTGTCATTTCTTGCAAAATGTCTCATCACAGTGATTGAATTTGAGCATCTTATCGTTGAATCTCCAATTGCATTAATTTTGTCCTTTTCATAAAGAGCTTTGAATTCTTGTCCAGATGACCTGAAGTAATCCTCACAAAACCAAAAAGGGAATATGTTATTCAATAAGAAGCAATGCATTGCTTAAACAATAATTTTATTTCAACAAAGTTGGGTTACAAAAGCGGCTTTATAAAGTGTGTTGGCGGAATCCGAACCACTGATTTCAAATGATTTAAAAATCTATTTTTGAAATGATTGGTGTAGATCCAACTTTATCATTCAATTTTGTCACACTCCTTTGTCATTGTAGCATAACTCTTGCTTAAATCCCAATCTGACCTACATAAAGTTAGTCCAATAAACCATTAGTTCTTGGAGTTATATAAAAGTACCTCTTGGAATTTCCAATGTTCAACGTGAGTTAATTATGACTTAGGCTTGTAGACGTTTTGAGAATATATTTTATTAAAAGTTATTTTTGTGGAAAATTTGTGATTAAAAAGTTAGGAAAATTTATGGATCCACATGATTTACTTATTTATTTATTTATTTATTTATTTGGATAGAATGCAATTTTCAATTCAAATTTAATTAAAAAAAAATTGAAATGGGTGAGCCCGGACTGCCTCATGAGCCGACTTGGCTCGCACAACCAAGGGACAAGCTTTGCAAAGGAGAGCCGAGCCTAACATTCTACTCCCTTAAGGCCTTAACATTCCTCTACGGTTTACAGAGGAGCATTGGCTCTGACCTATTGTTAAAATTTAGTTAGTGACAATATTCACACATGCATGGTTGGGCAACCACAACACTTGGACATGCCAAAGAGCAGCCCCGTCCCTTGCCGACCACTGAGGTTAGATTCATAGTACACAGTACTGGACATAACTAAAAAATAGAACAGGCAAGCCAACCATTGAGGTTAGATGCATAGTACACATTACTCGAGATGACTAAAAAATGATGGAAAATATTGTTCACAATCAATAAACTGTGTATAGGATGAAAACAGAATTGAAATCGAAATGAAAACGGACCAAAATAAAAACGGAATTGAAAACTGAACAGGGCCAAAATTTGGCCCATACGACCGCATGGGCAAATATCCATGTGGTCGCACGGTGATGTACCGAGGCCACATGGCCTCGGACTGGATAAACCATGCGGTCGCACAGTTGTAAATTAGGGACCGTTGGACAATTTTTTGGTTTGAATTTTGGCGGCTTTTCATTTCATTTTGGCACCTTTTCGTGTGGCAATGTTTCATGTCTATAAATAAGTGATTAATGGACATTGAAAAACAATCACAAGTATGTGAAAAACATATAAACAAATCCACATGAAAGAATTAAACTTTCTTCCCTCCATATTCATGTTCTTCAAGCGTTCTTCAAGATTTGGGTGGAAAAATCATTTGTGCTTTTGTGATTTTCTACAACAAGGCTTGATCAATCCTACGAACTATTTGCCATAAAACCTTTTAAGCACCAAATTTGTATACGAGAAGGGACAAATATCGTTTGAGGATAACGAATCATTTTCGTGTTTGAGCCTTCCATATTGGTTTGTTTTCCTTGTTAATTTCCATCTTCTTGAATTTTTATTTCTTAATTTTCATCTCCATTTTTCCGATGGCATAAATTTCCAACAAAAAATAGAACAGACAAGCTTTTAACTTCTTTACAGTCTACCCTACAGATCCCGACAAGGAAGTACAGTTAACAGTTTTCGGCCAAAAGTGGTGCAATGATAGTGCAGTTCGTAACATGCAAAGATCACGTGTAACAACTGTTGATGTTCTGAGACCACAAATTTGTCTCCTCCTAGCCTAGCCTTAAAAGACTTCCAGTGCAAAAGTTAAGGGCCCCATGAATGTAGTCCAAAGATAAGGTACAAGGGCTCTGGTATGCTCTGTCAAGTCCTAAATTCTGGGTGCCAATTTATGTATGAAACCATACAGGGTCTGTAACTGTTTGTGTTTTTTGGTCTGCCTAAATTCTGGTTCAAAGATATACATACACACACACACACACACACACACACACAATCCAATTGTGTCATTACAAAGACTAACTGAATAATTAGACCCCTTTACAGTAGATTCTCTACATTATTTTGGCCTTTTCAGAGGGTTATAGTGACCTTTCTTGAAAAATTTTAAAAGCACAAATAGCAATCCATCTTTGAAAATTATAAATGATTGTTTAGGGTGTCTTTTGTAATCATTTTGCCTCATATGGTCCTGGGAATCCTGTAAAACCTTTACCCACTTTTTACTTTTACATGTGTAGAGCACTCTAAAATTAAACAAGACGAGTAAATATCAATAATCAATAAATTAGAGAAATAATAGGGATTGAATCAAACTTAAATATGGAAATGTAAAAGATGAAAAAAGAATTAATGGGGCATAATACACATAATATCAATCTAGCACTTGCACTTTCAAACCTCAAAAACAGAAAAAGTAGGAATAGGAGTTTACTTTGTTCAAGTTATTGTCAGTTTACCAAGATTAAATTCTTAATATAAATAATCGAAATATCTAAAAAGAAACAAGAAAAAAAACCATAAAATTTGTCTTCTAAAGGGATTTGCAGGCGCAGATCAATAATGAGAATTCAACTTGATCTTGATCTTTCTGCAACTGCTGCTCTTCCAACCACAATCTGCTATCCATGCCACTTCTGGTTCGGAACATAAACACGGCATATCCCGAGGCTGGATTGTAGAACCAATCATGAACATCCCACATGAGATCAACAAGCAAACCATCCAATAAAATTGTCTGATTCCCTCTGAAGTTCCATTGCAAGCGCTTTATGCGAATTACAATCTTCTTATCGATACAAACTGATAGGACCGGATGCTTTTGGCCATCTTTTTCTCCACTACAACGTATCAAAATGTCGTGAGCAGCACCAGTATTGCAGAACTGAGCCTTAGTTGAATAAAGGGTATTGCCCGTAAAATGTTCTTGGCGCGAAATTAATGAGAATTTCGCCATTTGAGTGCCATTTTTGTGCTTTTTCATCCAAGCTTCTTGAGCTGTATCTCCAAGAATAAGGCCAAGTTCTGAATCAATGGTGACGAAGATATAATAACCATCGACAGGTTCAGGGCCTGTAGGATACCTAGCTGCAGAAAGATCCCAGATAACTTCAATTTTACTATTCTGGAATTCAAGTGATTTGCTGCCTTTTAACTTTTTGAATAAGCGCGAATTCGTGTTAAGTTTGAAGGCGCTTGATTGATCATCACCAAAGGTTATATTCAGGCCTTGAGTCAAGCTGCTCTTGCACCATGTAACTGTGATCAAAATCTTCTTTTGATTGGAGAGAATGGTTCTATATAAACATGTGACAGCATTTTGAACCGAAGGGATCGGATTAGGAGAAATACAAGAATTATTTGAATAACTTGAACATGATGTATCAGAAACCTGCACTGCATATTCACTAAAACAAGATGCAAAGTCTCTCATACTGTGTTGAAGAAGAATGGAGAGATTGAATTGAAGCCTGAAAATATTCTAAAGAAGAAATTTCCGAGGGTGATAAATGAAAACCAAGATTACTGACAGGCCGTAAAGGGATAAATATGATTCTCTTACCTAAAAAAATTGCGTCTTAGGCAGAGGAAAGAATGGAAAATTTGAAGGTTTCTTTATGTCTTGCCAGTTCATCTGAGGCTGAGATATTGAAATTTCCAAATGGTTAAACTAATTAAGGTATATAAATATATAATAATGATGAATAGAATGAATGCAGTGATGTGATGACAATTGTTCACTATTTTTTATTTTATTTTTTAAATTATGATTATTCAAGTTTCAGTTTCCAAGGTATAAATGGTTGACCAGACTGTGAAGATATCAGGCATTTCTACGACGTCTAAACTCCGCCAAATCGACCAAGAAAAGATAAGAAGTTTAACGTCAAGAGTAAGATTATATATGATGTCAATGATATTAATAAAATACAGTTTGATATACACAATGTTCTGAAAATTACCTTCGATTGTCTGGTTTAACTAGAAACTCATAAAAAAATCAAAAAAATGTGAACTTGTATAAAAACAATCAAAGAATCGATTGATTCACCTTAAGATTTTTATATTTTTATTATTCTATTATTTTTTACTCCAATTTTGAACCTGATTTGACCCTTCAAATCCTAATATACTATCAATCAGCATGTTATCTGAATTTCGTCGCAACTACGGTTATGAGCGGACAATCAAATAAAAATAGTATTTTCTTTCCATTGAGATGATTAATTGTTATAGTGAGTGATGGTCCCTCATGAATTAAAGACCAGTGGTTTTCAGTCACCGACTCATCTATATCTATACATGAACAAAAGCAAGGAAATAATAATGTGAAGTGGTAACTTTCTTGTGTGACCCTTTTCATTCCCTTGTTAGTAAGTAATTAAATTCATTGTAACAGTGACATATTTTTAATCTATCATTATTATTGGATTAATTTCCAATATTAATGCCGGAAATTTTAAGTTTTGTCAATAATAATAACTTACAGTTGGGAGAAAGTAACAGTACATGTGACCCGTGAACTAATTAAATTTGTAGCTAATAAGGTCCTTTCATACCCATTTCATGCTCCATTTGCCCAATGGTTATATAGTGCACAATTCTTAGGATGATAGCGAGTTACAAATCAGGCAATCACTCAAGGTCTAGTTCAAGTTCAATACTCATTTCGTGGAACGATCGAGTCGCGAAGTAATACTCTATTGACGTCCGCATCATCAGTTAAGGATTGATTTGTAGATTATAATCACTTGAACACATTTCCTTTGCATTTTCATTCGAGATTTTTTGTGTGTTTCTACTCCTTTGAGATCCCCAAAAATGGATAAATTCATTTTCTTAAGAACATATATAAGATTCGTCACTGCAAGAAAGATAATGATTAATCTAGATATAACAGATTCATCTTTTCCAAGAGCTCACATGGACAAGAAGATTTGGTGCCTTGATGTTGGCACTTTTTCACCCAGGATTGTTGTATGTTCCAAAGGTTCACTACTCTTAATGCGAGTTCTATTCGATTTAGTCGTTAAGGCTTGGTTCGTTGATTTGTAGGTACTTGGTTATCCTCTTCTTATAATCAAATTGTGAGGCTTACCCTATCTAAAGTGATAGTTAATTTTGTTGTGGTAGACGTGGGTTGTAAAATGAAATCAATTATAACAACAGTAATAGTGTAGCGTCTCGCATCTCTAAATTAAGACTTGAGTTGCAGATTTATAAATAATCAAATACTCTCTCTTTATAAATTAACTTTAAAGATCATAAGTTCCACTCAATATAGTGGTAATGTATTATTTGCAAGAATACACAAAGCCTTGGTATTATTTGTTTTTTGATATTCATGTTAAAGGGACTAAATCTCATTTCGAATAAAAATGAAAATATAGACCAATTTATAAGTTCTTGAGTTACTCTTCTTAACAAGTTTGATATTTTAAGATGGAAGCAATTTAATCCAATTAAGACAAAAAAAGAGAGCGTATGGAGTTCGATAAAAAAAAAATGAGCAAATGGATTTCAAGATTGATATACTCTAATGAACCACCATCTTACGGGGGCATGTTAAGGAATAAAATTTCATATCGAATAAAAATAAAAATATAGACCAACTTATAAGTTCTTGAGCTACTCCTTTTAACAAAATTGATCTTTTAAAATAGAATATCAAATTTTAATAACTTGTACCTCCCCCTTTACTTGTAAAGTGATTAAAATTTGATATAAAATTCATTGAATGCATTATCAATCAATTAAGGGTATAGATGAAGATCAGGGGTGGCATTGGACCCCAGTCCCAGTTGATAAGGCCTTAGCCATGTTCCAATATTATGTTTATTATATATTTTATCATAATTAATTAATGATTATTAAAAAAAACACAAATTATAAAGGAAACCTTCCAACAATTTCAAGTATCCACTGTAGTTTACTCGGAGTATAGGACCCAATTTCTTATTCCAATTTTCTTCTCAACGTGATAACGACTTTGGAGTGTTTGAATATTTTATGTTGGTATTCGTAGAAAATAATTTCAATAAATATACGTAACTTCTCCTTACTAGCTTAAAATTTTAAATAAGATGGTTAATATGGTATAAAATCACGCAAAAGATCAAATTCGTCACTTATTTAAAAATTATGCGTGTAATCTACGCATAAAATTGTGTTGAATATAAGATTTTTAATTTTAGACACAATGATTAACAATTTCATTGCGAACGAGTCAATAAAATGACCCTCAAAGTGGCAGAAAATAAGGCTTAATTAGGACCGCTACTGATTAATCTTCAAAATTGTCTGAATTTAGTCATGAAATTCAACAGATTTTTTCCAAGGTGAATAGTTAACTCCACTACTGGAACCTTAACTACGACACTACAAGTTAACTTATAGAATTCACACGTCAATAGCAGTCTTAGGTGTCCGACGACTAACGTTATTTTCACCAAAATGTCCCACAAATGTTAGTTGAAACCGCACGAAAAAAGGATTTGTCTGACATTGATTTTGCACGCTTTTGATTTTTTAATGACTAAAATTATTTGGTGACAATCAACTTTCTAGAAATCTTTTTTTTTTTTTTTTCCTACTCTAGTACAAGAGGTGTTACCTGTTGCTTTAATTAGATTTTTCTGTATTTATAGATAAATTGAATGAATTGGTGAAAAAGACTAAGAAAGATTGTAGTAACAATTTTTGTGTCAAGAAGATTCAAACATGCTGGTATTCGACATGACTAATTATAAAGAAATAGATGATAAAATTTTATTTATTATCATGTTTAATATTGTTATACTAAACTTGCATTTTAGACATTTAGACACAGATTATTGGACATTACAATAAGCTCTTATTTGGTTTAACTAATTTAATTAATAAAAAGTATGTCGAAATTAACAATTAATTTTAACTATACTTTTAATGAGACCAACAATTTTTATCAATTTTTCAACCACATATTTTATCCACTTTTATCAAAATATACTAAAAATTTGATTTTTAGCGAAACCAACCCAGTATATATCCATTAACTTCTCCTTCTCTTTTTCCTTCTGGTATGTCAAATCATTCAACTTATTTTTATGTAGAATTGTGCACGAAATCCATTTTAAATTGAAGTGTTGGAGGATTATATGAATGGTGGTGCCGAGAATCAGTGGCGGCCCTGAATATAGGCGATCTCCTAAGACCCCGTTTTGGTGAGAGTCTCAAATTATGTAAAGTTAATTAGTTGGTTGAAGTAAAATGAAAATTATATTTATGAAATTCTAAAAATAGAATTATCGTATGCAAACATAAAAAACTAATAAAAATTAAAAATACAAAAATCTTTCAAATATATGTATGGCGACAAACTTATCATTTACATTTATTTATCACAAACGTTACTTTCCATATTTATAATTAAGTTGATACTTTATCTTCCAAACATTCATTTTCTTTTTTTAACCACACAAAATGTCTCTGTCTTTTCCAATTCCATGTTCAACAATCACTCACCATTATTTTTTTCAACTCAACAAGATATAAATTATCTCCTTTTGAATTGAAATTTTGAAGATTCTATGCAATTTGATTTTGATCTCACTGTCATTGTTATAACCTTATAGATTTATTTCTTTCTCTTTTATTTTCAAAACAAATACTACATAGTACATATGTTGTTATTATATTATTTTGGTTTAATCTCATGATAAAAATATTTTTAGATATTTGTTGAAAGAACTTTGAATTTAATAATTCTTTGTTATTGTTCATACAGACACTTCTTATTTTAAATTAATTTCTTATAAATTAATACTTGTTTGTATTTAATCATCATTTTCATTATTTTTTTACACTATTTTTGCAATCACATTCTCCATTTTTGTACATAAATCACTCAAATATATATTCAATTTTATTTGAGATAGTTGGAGTGAAAAAATAATCATACAAACGATTATACATCTTTGTCATTGCATTATAATTCTGTTTGCCAAACTTTATTTGTAATTTGTATTGTTGGTCGAAATTTGACATTTTATTAATTTTCTCTTCAAATTTGGAGCTCAGTTGTTTGTGTTGGATTCTTTATAATTATATTAAGCCTCTGTTTGGTATCGATTAAAATCTAAATTTTAATCCAAATCAAAATCAACAATTAATTTTAATTACATATTTTATGGGTTCCAAAACTTTAAATCCACATATATTACCTACTTCTATCAAAATTTACCAAAAAATTTATTTTAGGGGTTGTTTGAGGGCCATTTTTCTTATAAAAAAAATATTTTGAAATAGTGTTATGATGTAGAACGTGTAATTAAAAAATAAAGAAAGTTTTGTGTTTGCATGTAATATTATTTTATTGAAAAATGTGTAATTGAAATGATATTAAATTACCGTTGAAGAATGTATTTTAATGAAAAATGAGACTCAAACAAGGGTTTAATCTCCATCAACGGGCTAAAACTCTATATAAGGAGACTCAAAATATAGAGCCCCAATTTGAAATTGGCATAAGGCTCCCAAAGTATTAGGGTTGTCCCTGTCGAGCACGAACACTAGGATTACATTTTAATAAAAACTAGTAATAGATTAAAAGTGAAGATAATTAAGACAACCTCAATTTAGTCATTTTTTTAACTTAAGATGTTTAGCAATACTAAACATGCTTAGAGCCTTTATTGCTCGTAATCGTAAAGTGCTTCATTTACCATGTTTAGACACCCAAGTTCATAATAATTTTCATCGTTTTATTCGGTCTCTATTTGGTATAATTTTATTTTCAATCATACGTCTCTCGATAAAATAAATTTACACATTGACTAATGATTTTTTTTAATTTCTAATAACACATTCTTAAAAAATAATTAAAAAAAATCACTTTTCACAAAATTTATTCTTAACAAATTTACGTTAAACAGACCCTCAATTATATAAATTCTAGAATTTCATGGAGATATACGAAATTTATAACATGGAGATATACGAAATTTGTAACAATAAATGAATAAATGTTCATGGAGATTTAGAAGAAATAACGTACGAGAATAATTTTAAAAATAGGTCAAATGCAAGATAAGATGTGTATTTAGGAATTCCAAATTAATAATGATCTGTAAATACTAACAAATATCACGTATCAAATTATTTGTATTATAAAACACTATACCGCAAGTATTGAAAATCCAAATTCCACATCCAATCGTGACCTTAATTCATGCAAGCTGCGAGATGGTGACATACACAGAACATAAGACTGGCTAAACTTGAATAGGTCTTTCTAAGTGTACAGCTAACGTAGGACTGTACACTTACAGAGGGGGGCCCACATTGATCATGGGTCTTTCATGTGAGAGGGTTGTCATGCTTGGCGTACAAAGTGGCTCAAAATTAAATATATATTTTATTAATTTATTTTTATAATAAATAGGTTGGTTTCTTCTAAAGATATAATTAGACATTAAACTGCGAAAATAAAAAAATATTAGCAGTTCAAACATCTTAACCCTCCGTTTGAGCCCCATTACTTTTCATTACATTACATTTCATTTTTCTCTCTTCTATTTTTAACCACACAATCTTCCATAATATAATATTACACGTAAATCGAAAAAATTTCTTTTTTTTTTCAACCACTCATTTTTCAAAAAATACTATTTCACCCATTAATTTTTCCACGTAATGGGGGCCAAACAGGGGCTAAATCTTGACTAATTAAGTAGTGCTATTTAAATAATGGGGACAAGTATTCTTTATTTAATAAATTCTGAAAATGAAAAAGTATGTCAGAAAATATCGCTATAATATTAGAGTAAAGCTACTTGACCAGAATGAAAAACGAGGAAATGGTGGGCAATGGCTGCCCCCGTCCCCCCGGTGTGTTTTCTATAATAACCTTTGACCAAGTTATTTGTTAAAAAAAAAAAAAAGGGGAAAATGTAAACAAAAAATGTAGGGTCGAAAATACCCTCATTTAGGAAAGAAGAGAAGAGAAGAGAAAATAGAGAGAAAAAAGAAGAGAAAAAAAAGGAAAAATCTGCTACCGACCGGTCGACGTCGCCTACGGACTGCCCGGACCCCACCAACTTCGACCAAGACCAGAGCCACCTCGATTCGCCGGAGATCGTCATTTTTTGGAAGGTTAGACATGTTTTCTATAAATAACTACTCTGAATTTGTGAAAGTTTGAATGTTTAGGATATGAATATGGGTAAAATTCATGTTTTTATGATTAAAATGTAACAAAATATCGAATTTGAGATTAAAATGTTGAAAAAAAGTGACGGAGCTCGCCGGAAATGGAGTTTCCGGCGAGCTCTGTCGGTCTGGTCCGTTACGGGCCAAACCGGATGGTCTGCTACGGACCAAACCGGATGGTATGGTCCGTTACGGACCAGGACCACCGGACCATATGGCCTGGACCAGTCCGGACCAGGATTTTGGTCTGGGTCCGGCTATCCGACCTAAATCCGGGTCCGAATTTGGGTCAAAAATAATTTTTTTTTTTTCAGAATTATTGTTTTATTTTTGTGTGAAGAAATAAAATGAAATATAAAATAAATAATATATTAAGAGAATTAACGAAATATTTAAAGATAAATTAAATTGAGTTTTAGTTTTTTTTTTCTTTTTTACGTAAATATACGTTTTAAATAAATAATCGAAATAGAGTAATTAAATATGAAATAAATAATATACATAATTAACGAAATATTTAAAGAATAAATTAAAAAAAAACAATATTTTTTTTACTTAACGAATTAAGATAATGAATTAAAGAAATAGTAAAAGGAAAAATCGAATAAATATTATTCAAATAAATAATCGAAATAGAGTAATTAAATATGAAATAAATAAAACACAAGATTAACGAAATATTTAAAGAATAAATAAAATTGAATAATATTTTTTTTACCTAACCAATTAAGATAATTAATTAAAGAAATAGTGAAACGAAAAATCGAATAAATATTATTATTTTTATTCAAATAAATAATCGAAATAAATAATATACATAATTAACGAAATATTTAAAGAATAAATTAAAAAAATAATATTTTTTTTACTTAACGAACTAAGATAATGAATTAAAAAATAGTAAAAGGAAAAATAGAATAAATATTATTCAAATAAGTAATCGAAATAGAGTAATTAAATATGAAATAAATAATATACATAATTAACGAAATATTTAAAGAATAAATTAAATTGAATAATATTTTTTTACCTAA